TGAGAGAGGTCATGCAAATTCCACATAAGGAACCTTGGGATGCCTGCCTGTGGTGGAGAAAACATCAAATCTAGGATGAAATAGTCCCCGAACGAAAGCATTCCTTTGGTGGCTGGTGTTTGGGGAGGACATTGGCAGCATTTGGGCTACATGTTCACGGTGCTCACTGTAATGTGCAACGTCAGTGAGGAAGTGTCTTTGGAGGCTTCTCAGCACTTAGAAATATAGCCTATTTGTAGAGACCAGAGGCTGTCTGTGTAAGTGGACACCTCCATACACATTTTTCACTTTTATTATGTGTATAGATACAGATATAGATGTAATGTATATGCTGCCTTTCCCCCAGCTTTAAAGACAGCTAAACCGGAGGCCTTTGTTGGTGCCAATTTCAAATTAATGTAATGAACATGGTTTCAATAGCAAAAATGATTTCACAACTTCTTCAAGTTGTGAATAGTGTATAGACCCCCAAAACAAGAATATTGTACCCGGGATTACTTGTTGTTGTGTTATGTATATAATCCTGACAGTTGTGTTGTGTATATAAATTTGACATGTGTACTATTTTCCTTTTGATATTTATGTAGACTATGTCTAGGAGTTATGGTATAGTAACAATTAGAACCCAGTTGGGACTGTAAAGCAAGACTAAAAATTGTTTTGAATTGTTAATTGCTATTGAAACCATTTTTGTTACATTGTTATATAGATATCTGTGCATAATAGGAATTTCAAATTAATGACATCCTGTTTTAAATCCAACTCCAAGTCCCAGTTGTAAAAGACGGATATTGGTTCACATTTCAACAAGGGCCTAGTATAGCTCAGACTAAAAGTTAGATTCAAGTCTCTATGAAATAGTAATGTTATCTCTTTGCTTATTTCATTTTCACATGAAAGAGTAGGACCCCCCAGTGGCGCAGTGGGTTAAAGCCCTGTGCTGGCAGGACTGAAGACCGACAGGTCGCAGGTTCGAATCCGGGGAGAGGCGGATGAGCTCCCTCTATCAGCTCCAGCTCCTCATGCGGGGACATGAGAGAAGCCTCCCGCAAGGGTGCTCCCCCCTCCCCCCCACTCCTCTGGAGTCCCCCCTGGGCCCCGTGCAGCCGGCCAATCTCTCCCCCAGGAGGCGCCGGACACGAATCCCACCAAAAGTGCATAACCACGATGTAGTAGCGCCTGGTGGATCACAGCCACACTTGTTCTCAATCGATTTGTAATTGGGGTGGTTTTTTTGCGATATTTAATTACAAAATTTTCCCTCAAAGTTCGGTATTTACGAAATTTCGTAAATATTTACGAATTGATTCGTTAAGATGGCGGACCCCCGCGCATGCGCAAAATCACTTCCGAAGCTTCGTTATTGGCGCGGGGGTCGATTCGTTAAGGTTATAACGAATCGATTCGTTAAAATGGCGGACGCGATCGCGCATGCGCAAAAGCGGCTTCCGAAACATCGTTATTAAATACGATTCGATTCGATATTGAAATAATAACGAATCGATTCGTTAAAGCGAATATTTTGTATTTTTTTAAGAATAAAAGACAGGTATTTTTAGAAAATATTCAAAAATGGAAAATTAACCCAAAACTGGCCCTGATGTGGACCAAACACAGCCACGAGACAGGGCAAACGAGAGCACACACCAACAGAAGAGTCTTTTCTTTTTTAGAATATTTTTTGTATTTTTTAACAATAAAAGGCAGGTATTTTTAGAAAATATACTCAAAACTGGCCCTGATGTGGACCAAACACAGCCACGAGACGGCCACATAAGCGCCCCCACCAACAGAAGAGTCTTCGTTTAGACTATTTTTGTATGTTTTCAGAATAAAAGGCAGGTATTTCTAGAAAATCTTCAAAAATGGCCCTTCCCCCCCCCCCTGCCCTGCTCCCAGACTGAGACAATCCCCTCCCCCTGGCGCACCCAACAGCGCGTCTTTCTTTTTCGAATATTTTTGGTTTTTTTTCACGCCCTACCCGGCAGGTATTGTAGCACCTATCAGACCGGCCCCTAACTAAACCTGCCTGATGTGCGACAACCACAGCCCCGAGACCGGACCCACCCCGCGGAGCCCCCGGCCACCGCAGAGTCTTTCTTTTTTCGCCTCTTTTTTGCTTTTTTCCAGCCTCCCCGGCCGGTATTTTAGCCCTCTCCCCCCCTGGCCCCCCTTCCCCCCCCCTGGCTGCGTGGCCCCCCCCCGCCCCGGGCCCGGGGCCCCTGGGCCCCCCCCCCGCCCGCCTGCGTCTTTCTTTTTTGGAATCTTTTGGTTTTTTTAACAATAAAAAGCAGGTATTCTACTGTATCCCCCCTGGCCCCTCCCCCCCACCCTGCGCTGCTGTGGGCCCCCCCCCGCCCCGCGTGCCCGGGCCCCGTGCGCGCCCCCCCCCCCGGCCGCGCTTTTTTTTTGACATTTGGGTTTTTTTTCCCCAGCCACCGGCAGGTCTT